CCATCTCCTAAGCCATGCTGCCCACTGAACCATTCTTCCCTTTCATCCTAGGAAAAGTGCCGACTGACATCTTGCAAAGTTCTCTCACACCCGAAGGCCTTTCGTCTCTGTTGAGGGTTCCCCATGGATGTGGGGAACAAACAATGATCTTCTTAGCTCCTGGAGTCTACGCAATGCACTACCTGGACCAGACAGAGCAGTGGCTGCACCTGAAACCAGAGAGCAAGGAAAAAGCACTAGAAAACCTCCGCACAGGTGTGTATCAGGTCCCATTGTATATGAGAAGGAGATACACTGCTGCAGTATAAATGTATGCAGTCTCAAGTAATTTAAATTCTTTTGAAAAGAATCATGGCAGATTTTGGGAAGCATCATTCTTTGGACTACAATTGATAGATAGAGAATTCTGGGACTTGTAATCCTAAAAAAAAAAGTAATTTTTACAAGCTCTGAATTGGCCGACACTTTTGACTTTATTGGTTAATCACTCCATTAAGCAAAATGTGTTGCCAGCACTGATTGTCTTGTGCCTGTGATATTACAAATCCTGCTCAACACCCATCCCTAGGTTCTTGTTCTGCAATCCATGAATGTCTTTCAAGGAGTTTTAAGAGTCAGTTGCAAAAACTCATTTTAAAAAAACAACTGCTTGCCACTTTTGTCCTTTTTGTTACTCTGTTACTTTTAATTTTTTCATATCACAGTGAATTTTGAGATTAAAAAGTAAGTCAAGTGTTCATTGTAGTGTGCTTGTTCCAGTCTAGTCTATATAAAATAAATTATTTGCCAATGCAATAAAAATAAAATGCCATTTTTGATTGCATTTATATGCATTTATGTGGGGAAGGTATCCACAGCTTTCATCAAATTCTCAAAGAGATCTGTGGCCCCTAAAAGTTTTAAGAAGCAGAGCTCTAGGGAAATTCTCACTTGATTGAAGCATTGATTTTGTGAGCTGGGGTGCATTTATGTTTTGGCTGTAGCATCTCTTTTTCTCCACGCAACCAATAATAGTGAGAAAATCTTGATACAAAGAATTTGCAGATAGGGAGCAAAAAATAATGATTGTACTGGGCTCTCTCTCATATTTTTGTTTTTATTTTGCATCACAGGCTACGAGCGAATCCTCACCTTCCGTAAGGAGGATGGATCTTATGGAGCTTGGCTGTCTCGTCCCAGTAGTACCTGGTAAGACCTAGCACTTCAAAGGAAGG